GGCTGGACACTCGTTGCACTGCGTGTTTCTTTAGCTGCAGCTCTGCCTGGCTGTGTCATATCAACAGGATGAGTACACTAGCCTACAAGGCCATGTCCATGCTTGGATTAGGTCTAGTAAATCTTTAGTTAAAAATCCAATGCCCTTTTCTCCTTTAAATTTTAATAGTGTATATCCAAAGCAACTACATTGCCCTGAGTGAAATACTAAGTTTTTGCTCAATTTTGTTTTCACTTTCTTCCTTTTTAAAAAAAAAAAAATGTAATTTTTTAAATCTGAACTTTGCAACTATTGCTTTGGTCTCAAAGTCAATGAACTTTCTGACAACATTCCTTGTAAAGGCTAAAACCTTTCCGGGCAAGTGATTAACAACTGGGACAAGCCCTTCCATGAGACATGAGTTTTGCAGCCTGTTGTGTGGTCTCTTTGGCTGGGTCTGTAACACATTTCCGATCGTCTAAATATAAAGAGATAAAAAGGAGAGGGACTGCCAGACTCCACTGTATAACGTAAAGCGAGTGAGAGGGAAAAGGTTTATAATTTTTCTTCTTCCTTTTACATTGCTGGCTACATCTTATCTTTAGCCGGAAGATGCTAACATCATTTCCTCTCTGTAAATTGGCTCACGCGTGATACAAAAGCACAATATGACTTTCTTTTCTAACTTAATAAAACTTTTGATACTTCAATGTTTTGACATGCAAGAATTGATTTAATCTCAGAACTGTTAAAACATCACTTTGCTGAGCCAATGGGTGTGTATATTGCCACAATGAACCCTCTTTTTAAACAAAGCGGTAATATTTAGGATGAAAATTTGGAGTTACTTGCAACAACCAATGTGTGCAAAGTGATGATACCAGGACTTTTTGGAGCTAGCACAGCATATGTCTACCTCTTTTATTGCTCTTCTGACATCTAGTTATGTTTGAAGTAATAGTGTGATTGCCCTGTGGATTTTGACAGAACTGTTGAAGCTGATTCAGAAAGCAGTAGTGCCCATCTTCAATACTAAATGAGAGTGCAGTAAATGCCAAAAACAGCCTTAAAAGCCTTCATGAAATTTTCAACAATGATTCAAATTAATAGTGATTCACCTACTCGTGAATGAAATATGAAACTTATTTCTATTGCTCCCATTGCTGTGCCATCTGGGTACATCATGAGAAATAAAATGATACCAGTGACTGGCAAAAACTTCCATGGCTTCCCTTTGTGAAGCAAGAAAGTTGATTAATTGCTGCTCTTTTTTCCTGTTGAGCAATCTCTCAGTTTTGAGATTTACGGTTATTTTATTTGCAATGTAGCTGCCTACTATTTAAATAATTGGAAAGGCATGCCCTCTAAACACATTTTATGATTCACTCACAAAGATACGAGGATCTCCCACTTTGACAGTCTTCATAGTTAATCACAAATGGAAACTTTCTGAATAGCTCTAGTATTTTGAAAGTTGTGAAACAGTCATTCTGGGTCTTGGTTGAAACCCTTCCCGTTGCGATACCTGACACTGTGTCATCAGCAGCATGCATGAGCTGCTAGAGGCAGATCAGGCCCACAGGGTGTCACGAAGGAGATCATTTAACAGGTAGGACACCATGTTGGAGGCCACGTAAGAAAATGCACCATGCTTCACGTAGGTCTTGGCAGCAAGTATCCCTGGAACAGACCTTTCAGAAACTTCTTGGTGCCATGGTGGATAATTAGAGTCGATTTTAGTGTGAGCGTGTGAGGCTCTGGACTGTCCTTGTGTCTGGGGGTGACAGGCTCTCAGATGTCTTAGAGGGGCTTTGGCTGGCTGAAGACTTCAGTTTTGCAAGGGGCAGTGCAGCTGCTCAATGATTGCCTGCTTCTGTCAAAAAGCCCTATTAAAGCAGTATTAAAAAGCCTCAATTTAGGATGTGTGCAGAGGTCATGTGAGTCACAGGTACCTGGTAAGTACCCAGTGCAGGCATTGTGTGGCTTAGCCTAGGAGTGCAGTATTTTGGTTTTGTACTTGCCCAAGGTGGCCCAAGCAGCATGCAGGCTTGGAAGTGCCCACAGGGGTCTCAAGTGCCATTTTCTATTGAGCAGGAAACAGTGTGTTTTAAATGCAGTTTTTCTCCAAGCTAGTGGCCGCGCTGACTACCCACAGAAAGCTGCTATGGTATGTACCTTCACCTACACACACCTCCCCTCCCCAGGGCTGAGTGACTATTTTGTGAGGAGTTGGATAAGCCGTGAAAATTTTCAGGCTGGGGAACCAAACTTACAGTGTCCTTCTAGTAGCTAAATGGCAGGCAAAGCCTAGCTTTTCTAACCACTCCTTTTCTCAGGGACTGCTTCTGGGTGGAATTTATTCCTTATGCTGCCATCTGTTAGCTTATTAAGCACAGGGGGTTGACACCTGCAGACAGGACCTGAATAATCAGCGGATTTGAGCCTTGGTCTGGTGCAACAGCAGTGGGCTGCCCTGAGGCTTCACAGGATTTGGAGTGTGGCACATACAAGGTGCGTGGGGACTAACTCCTTATTACAGCAGCTGCCACGGCCAGCAGGCAACAGTCAGAGCAAAGGTATTGCAGAAGTTCCTTCTCTCTGGAAGAAAAAGAGATTTGCAAAAATAGGCATAAGCCCGGTGTGTCCCCCACGGATTGCTGTCAAATGGAAACATATGGTAACTTTGCCATGGAGTACTTCTGGATAAATGCATCCCATTGTCACCATGTGGCCCAGCCTTGAGGTTTTAAGAATCATCAAAAGTAATATCCAAGATTTCCTTTCTAGGGAAAGGTTCCTGATTGGATTAGTAGGTAGTACACAAGCGGTTATCTGGGAAGTATGTTAATGCTAGAATTGTTTACAGTAATCCGGTAACTTGTATTTTATGAAGTAACTTTACAAAACAAGTGGAGACTTGTTGGAAATTCTTTCAGTATGTCTAGTAAACATATGAACTTGATTGCTAAGGGAAATGTCATTGTAGAGCAGAAACAGTGTGGTATTGGCCTCACAGGCAAATGCGCAGATGTCCAGTACAGTCGTGAGGAAGTGATTTGTTGGTGTGTCATTGGATTTCAATTGCCTTTAATTTAACTACCCCATGTATCTGTGAAGTATCACTGCAGCAGTACAACTGCAAATGGGGCTACCAGAGCATCTTAAGGGACCTGGTCAGGTTTGTCACTGGGATTTCCTGGCTGTCAGCCTTAAACGTAACTGATCCGATGATACATGGAATCTGAAAGAGTCTTGATTCAACAACAGAAAATTTTGTGTTGCTAGTAGTAGCATTGGAGTGCATTAAGCTCAATTCAGCATGAGGGGGTAAAACCCAAGAAGCTAGGAAAGTGCCTGGGTCACTGTTCACACTAGACTCTGTCTTTATAGCAGCAAGCTGTATTTTAGCTCATTACCTTGAAGCGAGCTCTAGTATGTCTCTGTGAGTGGCAATGTGAATGCAGAAGCCTGAGTCTATGCCCGTTGTGCTTGCAGTCTTTGGGTCGCTGTCTTTGAGTGCATCTATGAAATGATTAATAGTGGTTCTTTGCCTCTTAGGAGAGTTGTGTTGAGAGGACTTGAAAAAATGAGGGAATGGGTATGAGCTAATACTGACAGAAGCTATATATATATATATCTCCCTGAAACAGCTTAGCAATACAGGTGTTTTTTTTTCTTTCCCCCTGGGTGAGACGTTTTAATGGCCAGACGGTTATGTTTCAGAGTGCCTACCAACTTAATGTGATGAGACAAAGACAGGGATTTTCTGGAGCGTGACTTATTTCTACATGAATGCACCCGAAAGTAGATTTAAAAATCTGTCAATGGCAAAGGACAGTTAATGACCACATTACTGTAGCTGCCTCGTTAAAAATCTTACTCATTTTAGGTAGATTTGTTGCAGAACAAGGTAGCAGGAAAATACAGTAAACCTACAAATACTTGTTTTTCTGGAGCTTGATTGAATGGCAGTAGGTTGGAAATTGTGTTTCTGGGACTAGCAGTGTATCACCTTTTATTTGACTTTAAATCCATTATTTAGATTGAGCATATAGCAGGTTTGACCTAGAATCAATGCTCCTAGTAAAAGCCCTCTCAGCTGGCCCTGTAGAGTCCTGCCTATTAAAAAGTCCTTCTCTTTCACACCTCCTTTGATTAAAAACTCCAGATACTCCCTTAAGTAAAGAGTTGGTTTTTTCACATAGCTGATCATGCTAAGCAAGTCCCTAAAAATTCTGATTGAGCGCTTTGGAAATTATGTAATAGTCAAATGATCCACTCTGGAAATGGGAGATCTGTGATGAAACTTGAGAGAGTTTGGCTATTGATTTCCAGTAGGTCCATTTTACCAATGTTGAATCTTTGCTGAACTCACACTCCTGAGGATGTACAAAAAAATGAGTTTGAAAACTTGCAGGCAGAATGCTCAGTTCCAGTAAATCACAGGTTTTGTGACAGGGTGGTGGGGTAGTCAGAGATTAAACACACTTTCTCCCAAGTTGTGTTAAATAGTGAAGATCACTTTACTTAGTAATTTAAGCATTAAATAGTAACATTATAAGAAAAGAAAGTACGAGGAGAAAATCATCCCATCATACAGCAATATGACAGCATTAAAAGCTCACAGTGAAAGGGGGAAATAAATGTTGAGAAATAGAGGAATATGTGCATCCTTAGCTCAGTAGGTTCTGTGTACATCAAGCTTTGGACAGCAATGTTGGGGATATGCATAGGTGGCTGCATCAGTGGGATGTTCAGCCTTTTATTACATGTGCCAGCATATAAGCTTTTGTTTGGATTCGTCAACTATTGAGACTTCTTTAGGAAAGCACTGCCCGATGAATGAAATTTTCAGCCAACTGGCTACCTTTCATTTTTTCAGTCCTGGCACAGCTTAATCTCTTCTGTTTGTGTGTTATTACCAGATCTGGATCGCTGTGCTTGCGTCTTGCCCTGTGTCATTTAGCACATCTGGAAATGCTGTGGTTTGCTGAATGACAAGTCACACTCTTTTCTTCCAGTTCCGCCTGGTGGTAAAGACAGCACTGAAGCTGCTGCTGGTGTTTGTGGAGTATACCGAATCCAACGCACCGCTTTTAATCCAGGCAGTATCTACCGTTGATGAAAAGAGAGGTAAGTAGCCTTACTTGGGGGGTGCAGTATCCCAGCACCACTGAGATCAGGGTCACATTTCATCACTGATTTCAGTGGCTCTAGAGTTGCTGTCACGATGCCTGCTTTGTGCGACATGCCGCTCATTTCTTGATTAAAAGCATATTTTAAGTATGCATGCAATTTGAGATTGTTTTGAGGAATGAATTACAGTGGGAAGGTGAAGAGTCAAAAGCTGAGGAACTCAACTGCGTCCCTGGGTGCTGCAGTCTCATTGCCCCTGAAGCGCACCCATGTGCGAAGTAAGCCTCGTTGCATCTTCTGACCTTGGAGGTTCCTTCGGGCCAGGCTGTCTTTCCACTTCCTTCTTGAGAAGCGACAGTCTGATTTAGAAGAGAAAATGATATCTAATCAGTGTAATCCCTTTGAAGAGAAAGACGAGGTCAGTAATAGTACAGGCTTTATAGTAAAAGCAAAACCATCTGTTGTTACATTAAAATAAAGCCCTTGAGCAGATATTATACTATGAAATCTGTTACCCTTCAGGCTCATGAAAAATACTTGAATATGTATACTGTATTTTTTACAAATAAATAGAACAAAAATGGTTCTTTCTTGTTCTTCCCACAAAGTCATTGCTAAGCTCCCGGGGCATTCTCTCTTGATGCAAAACATTCCTTTGCCTCAAGGAGAGTTTTTGAGGTTGGGAGAGCCATTGTTGTGGTCTCAAACACATGGAGGTTGAAAGCAAGATCCCCTCTGTGGAGCAACTGCCTCCATGCTGAACTTGTTTGAGCGACTTGATATGGTAAAAGTGAAACAAAAAATAAGGTTGGAGGATGGGGAGAAAGGTGGTGCCAGAAAAAAGAGAAAATTGCCAGATTTTGCTTTCAGCTATCAGAATGAGTGTGCTGAAAAGGCCCCAGAAAAAAAAACCCAAATTGTCTCTTGTGGAAGGGGAGCAGGCAGGGGCAATTCCAAAACAGTGTAATACTTTAAACAGTGGACTCCAGGTTGGCTTTCTGTTTTGAATTAAAGCCAATAAACCTTACAATGCCATAAGCAGAAATGTAATTACAATATTCATGTAATTGTGAGTGCTGATTTATTTTTATAGTCAGTCTTAGTATTTCCTCAGTTCTCTGAACTCACTGGTATTCTCAACATGTTCAAATTGCCATCTGTTCACATGCTAGTAAACCTCATTAAAGAAAAGAGGGAAAGGAGGACCCAAAACACACTGCCATGAGCTGCGTATTCCCTTCTGTATCTGTAGAACAGCTTCAGGCAAACATTTTCATGCCCCAAAGTAATAAAACAACTTAAGTAACAATGTAAAATGTGGAGGAAAAAAAAAAAAAAAGTGATTCATGTACTTAGATGGATAATTGTTAGGAGTATGAACAGAGGGTTTATGAGAATTCTCATACCTGTGGGTTGGGGGATTGTCTCATGAAAAATTACCTCTTGCAAATAATTTGGCCCCAAATATCCAGTTTTCTTTTCTTTCTGTGTCTTTTTTTTTAATCATTATTATTAAGCAGTTGCACTTAGCTACAAAAGAGGGTTTTTTTCCCAAATATCCAGTTTTCCTTACTTTCTCTGTCTTTTTTCTTTTTTTTTTAATTATTATTTTTAAGCAGTTGCACTTAGCTACAAAAGAGGGGTTTTTTTTCCTGGTTTTATATTTAGTTCCTTTTTTAGGTCATCAATGTAATAGACCTCATTTTTAGCTGTGCATGTGCTATATTTTAATTTACGTTTTGAAAGAAGTGACTTACAACTGAGGAGTACATGCTTTTAATGACTGACTTAATGGAACAGAAATACAGAGGAAGAAAAAGCGATGTGCCTTTTCTTGAAATGGTGTCATAAATCTTGCAGGTATATAATTAAGTTTAGCACTGCTTTGAAAAAAGTCCAATGTTTCATGTACATACAAGGTGATGAGATATGACATAATTCCTCAACATGTGTACCACACATGATTAACAGAAAGAACCCCATAATAACTCAGCCTGGTTTCAAAGCGATCCCATCTGTGGTTTCTATGAGAGCACACATCCATGTGCAAACTGAAGTACAGAGATCCGTGGAAGTGCCGGCTTTACTCTCAGATACAAGCAGACTGTAACTGAATAACTGCATGGCCCCCATCATATAGGAAATAGCTTCTACTTATACTTCCATCTAGTTTCCCCTCCCCCCCTCCCTTTCTTGTTTCAGAGCCCCAGAGGAATTCAATCTCTTTTCAGTTTAAGCATACCGGGACCATGCAGGCTCTGGAAAGTGGAGCTGGCATTGAGCTCTACTGTCTGAGGCTGCTTTATCACGAGCGTTTTTTAGGACAGACATTAAAGCCCTGTTGCTGACCTGGATGCTCTCACATACTGTTTGTGTATTAAGTTTCTGCTGCCTGACTTGTTACATTATCTGGAAATGTCTCTCCTTATCAGTTCTCCGCTTTTCCTGCCATTTCACGCATTGATGTCTACTAAATTAATGCCCATACTGTAGGTGTGATGGAAGGCTGTATGTTCACTCGTATTTAAATAGCCAAGAGTACAAGATATGGAGGTGTTTCCAAACGTATTAATATGGCAACTAGAGATGGGTACTCTGTAAGTTGGTGGTGGTCCTCATGTATGGTTCTGGCCTGATGCGAAGTTTTTCATGCTTTATACGTATCGTGCACATCCCGTGTAGTTGTGATGCCAAGATTATGTGTAAGGCATGAATGACAGCATTAAATTTATTTTTCTCCTTTTTTTTATTTTTGAGATTCGTACGTAGAAGCATTTAAAAGGGAAACTGAGAAAAGACTACGCCTTAAAACAAGGGGCGACATTGTTCAGTAGACCGTATCAATTTAATACAGGATTGATTGTTGCAACCCTATAGCTCTCCGTGGGTTTATGCGCTGTGGGTGACTACTCAGAGTGCTGTAGTAACATCAGGATTGAGGCTCCAGCATTCCTGTCGGAGTAGCCATGATTATGACCTGTTACCAGTGAGAAGCCTGTGAAAAGGCAGTCGAGCAGTTCTCCTTTTACCCATTAGAAGGCAGGAGAACACACACAAAACTCGACCCTCTGCTGTTTTACTTCAGTGAGCCTGTTTCATCACTCCCATCAATTTTGCTGCAAGCGCTGCATGGAAGCCATAACCTTAAGGGAACATCCCAGTCCGGTCCCAGAAGAATTGCTGGGATGTTACATCATCATTCTTTTACCTCATCATTCTTCTACATTACAATCAAGTGGAGGAGACAGGCTGGAAAGTAAACCTTCTTGATAATTGGCAAGCATAAACGATTGCACTTGCTGTTCTTAAAAATAAACTTCATAACATACATTAAATGAATTTTCATTTTTACTAGAAATACACATTCATTGCCAAATCTAGATTTGAGTTTAGTTCTTTCAGGATTTGTCGCATTCTAGTCATTACACAGAAGATGGAAGCTGTAGCTTTTAGCTCTGCATAATAGTTTGCTCAAAGGTTCCTCTCCACCTATAAACTAAGAGCTTTTAATTTTCTCCATAATAAATATGTCTTTTTAAGGGGAAATACACATCATGTCTTTCATCTCTCTTGTATAAGCATCATTGTTTTACTATAGCAACCAATTAGTTTAGAAGAGTCACCAATTTTTTTGGTGCGTTCCAAGGTATCTTTCATGAAGTTTTTCTGTGTGGCTTGAAAGGAGAAGGAGTTTTTCCACTGAGCCATCTTATCATAAAAAAAATTGCCTTGAAAATTAATTTTTTTTTCATGTAGACTCCAGCCTGTGTTCTCATCTTGTGGTGACTCTTCAGAACTCTTCAGGAACAACATATTTGGAAATCCAAGTGGACATGAGAGTAGATGAGAGCAAACACCTGCTCTAGATCTGCTCATATCCCATGCTGTCTGGGTCATAAGTTGGAAACTATAGGCTCTCATTATATATTAGCAAGGTATATTAACCCAAGGATAGTAATGCAGTAAGTTCATGGTGCAACTTCCACACCAGAACTGCCTTGTCCCCAGGTGGGTAGGTGGTCTTACGGCTATTTCCATGTTCTAAGGACTGGCTGTTCAACTTGAGATCATAATGAGGAACACACAATTTGAAAAGAAAGGTTTAATCTGGTACAGATTGGAATAGCTCTGTCAAAGTCATTGATAGTACTGTGTCCTCTTGATATTAATTAGGCAATAGAAGAATTTCAAATTGAAGGCTAGATTTTGGAAATGCCTATGTTTAATAGCAGCACCTTAATTAAAGCCTTTGAAAGATGGATGAGCTGTTACAGGGCTGCCTTACTAGTAAGTCTGCCTGATTAACCATTTAAAAAAAAACGTATTCTGAAACAGAGAAGCCTCGTGGATAGAAGAAAATTACACATCATCCTTGCAAGAAAAAAGCAAGGTGATCGTGAAAATATTCTTTTATGATAATGGAGAAGTGTTGAGACATTCAGGCAAAAAAATCAAACACCAAGATGCTGCCTTTAAAAAACAGGACAGGATTGTTCCAGTAAGAATAAAACCTGCCTGCAAAATAATGTTTCTGCAGAAGGACTCTTGGTGAATAATGCAGTGGATTAAATAATTAATTTTTTATGTTGTTGTCAACTCACTTTTTTCCAAATGGCAGTGTTATAAGTCAGACTTGCATAGTTTCCCCATTTTGCTTCTCTTTCTTATTTTCTTCCATTTTTATTTTTCACTGGAAA